GCATATGTAGTCATGTCTCCCCACACATTATCATCTCATAACACTAGGGATTTTTTTTAAAGGCCGTACATCTGGCCCTTGAACATCTGCTAAAGTCAAAGTGTCTGTCTCGCAACACCTAGATCAAAATATATAAAACGTTAATAAGACAAGTCATTTTTTATGGCTCTGAAACTTGGAGCCTTATTACATGTTTTCAAAAACAAAGCCTTACGACAAATCTTTGGACCATCAAAGATGCAAACAGTGGGGAATGGAGAGTGAGAAGCAACAATGAAATTTATAATCTGTTTAAATCACTATTGATCACTGGCATCATGGGAGCTAATAGACTGAAATCATCATAAACCACTTCTGCCGTTAAGCACTGTGGGAAGGAATAATTTGCGATTCAATGCACGCTGGCTGCCAGTGGCTATTGTCTTGCTGTGAAGGCTTAGAGTGTCTTTAATGATGTCGATCCATTTTCTTGCGGCCATTCTCTTGCAGCTAATCTTCTGAGATGTAGTGCTTGTGAATAGACTGAAATGGTCGGGGCATACTGAGAGAATGTCAGATGACAAAGAAGTGAAAACTATACACAAGGGAGATGAATGATCATAGATCATGAGGCAGACCAAGAAGATGATGGAGAGATAATGTCCACACAGACCTGTCAACACTTGGTGTCACCAACTGGATAAACGCCAACCAGAGAGATGAATGGAGGCGGATTAAATATGCAGCAATGAACCTCAAGGGCTTGGAATGTGGAAGAAGAAGAAGAAGAAGTTTCATACCGGCAATGCTACTGTAACTGACAGTTTGTGACGAGTACCTTTTTTTTAAAAAACACTTTGAGTAGTCCTCCCTCCCCCCTTTTTTTAAAAGACACTGAGTAGTAGTCCTCCCCCCGCCCTTTTTTAAAAAAAGACACTGAGTAGTTGTCCCACCCCCTTTTTTTTTTTTTTAAAAAGACATTTTGAGTAGTTGTCCCCCCTCCCCCTTTTTTTAAAAGACACTTTGAGTAGTTGTCTCCCTCCCCTTTTTTAAAAAAAGACACGTGTTGTTGTCCTCCCACCCTTTTTTTAAAAGACACGTGTAGTTGTCCTTTCCCCCACCCACCTTTTTAAGACACGTTTAGTAGTTGTCATCCCCATTTTTTTTAAAGACACTTTGAGTAGTTGTATCCCCCCCCCCTCTTTTTTTTTTCTAGGGAAAAAAGGTCCAATTCCAAAATTAGAAATAATTTCATGGTGATGCAGGAGTAAGTAAAGAAAAAAAAAAAGTAAAGTTCCCTTTTCACGCCTTTCGGCGCATCGGGCATATGGGCAGAGCGTCCCATATTTTTACAGACCATCAGCACTCTGTGGGTAATGTGGTCAGGAGTAGGAGGCATTAAATGAGTGTCATAGTAGATGAGGCATAATGTTTCAAGGTTATCATGCAAAATTGCCAGTTAAGGCACACTAGCCAATTGAAGGCACAATTGCAAGTTAACTCTTTCAACCCCATGGGTTCTCACAGCATATGCCTGAGGAATTGAATGAGCACTGTGCAAAGTCACTAAGCATAACTTTCAAACAGGCAAATTAAGCAGCAGAAGTAGCCAATATGGAAGCCAGATTTCCTTTGTGTACAATAACCACAAGTAAAATGGGAGTAAACACATTAGCTGAGGGGTTGGATTTATGTGGAAAAGTCTATTACGCATCACGCGCTGCATGGGACTAAAAGAGTTAAGGCAAAATTGTCAATTGAAGACTAATAACAACTGAAACAATGTATTTCATGATATTTTTTTTGAGATTATGATGTCTTAACATGGTTTCAGCAAGATCAAACATATTGTTTCAAGGTTATCATGCAAAATTATCAGTTGAAGGCAGACTAGCCAATTGAAGGCAAAATTGTCAGTTAAGGCACAATTGTCAATTGAAGACATAACAACAACTGAAAAAAATGTATTTAAAGAATTTTGTTTTTTAATAGTTTTGTTTGGTCGCCAGTTTTTTCAAACTGAACCTCCCCTCCTCATATTTTCAAGACTATTTGTTTTTGAAAATATAACATATGCCCTAATCAAACACTTACAACAAGCAGCATCTACAACTTACAACATTTACTGACAGAGACCTCATTTATCTAGAGTGCAAAGATGTTGATTCTTAAAAGCAAGAACCAGTTAATTTACTGAAAGCCACCCATGCCATGATGCTAGACTAGTTTCTTGAGCTGTCTTCATCTGTCTTTGGGTAAGTGGTCAAGCTGTTTGCCTTGAGCTTTGAAGGCTCTGGGTTTGGTTCACTAATGCATCATTCAGTTCATGGCTGCAATATTTTTTGAGATCCCTTGGAACCATCACTGGAGCTATGGAATTCGTGCTTTGTCGCCATGCTCCCAGCAGGCACCTTGCTTTTCTGCTGAGAGAGACTGAACACTGGGATAAAATCCGACACAATGGAGAAGATCATTTCCGCTTTAAAATTAGCTGCATATAGGAGATTGTAGAATCAAACCCAGCATTTTTTTGGCTGTTTGTGATTAGGTAATTTTACACTCAGTAGTTTGCCATTGCCTTTCAACCTAACCTTAAATCTGTCTTTTCCCCCATTACTTTTGCAGCTAAAAATTTCCCAGCTTTTCTCTTCAGCAAAAGTTTATTGAAATTTTGTTTGATTTTTCTAAAGAACTACATGTTTGTTTTGTCCTCTTCATAAGCCTGAAGACGACTCCCAATTGACTGCCACAGCATTTCCATAATACAAATAAATAACAAGCAAAGGTAGTCCACTGGAAAGATTTGTGGAAGAGATGAAGGCCCTTTGTCATGGCTTGGAGGGGTGTAAGTACATGCTGTTGTAGACTGTAGGCTGTGGAGGGGCATGACTGTACATACCAGTTGGCAAGAAACTGGATAATGATGATAACAATAGTCATGAAGTATCAGTCCCATATTCTTAGACCAGTTAATACTAGATGGGTGATGTGGTTAATAACATGCCAGCTGCCTTTATTTCCATGTCATTTTCCGCTTCCCTTGATAGCACAGCTTGACCTAGAAGAAAGTCAGTGTGCAAGAAATCCCTGCTGTGTTTCAAAGGCATGACAACTGGGCTACAGGGCAAAGGTGCCTACAACTGCACTACCTCTGTCTACCACCACTTACATTAGTCTTAGTTATTATTAGAACTTTTAATTCTTAAAAAAAAAAATTAGTTGCAGTTTTGTTTGATAATAATTTTATAATAAATTGAAATACAGAAAAAAAAAAGACAACCAAAATATTTTGGCTACAGTAAAAGACATAACCACCTTTTAAAAACGATACTGGAGGGAAAAGGTCAAAAACTAGACAGCAAGAAGTAGACAAGTTGGAGGTCAACATCAGGAGATGGAAAGACAGCAGCCTGAGTGTACTACTGAGACAAGAGACAGACAGTGCTGGAGATCTATGCAGCCAGCCTTCTCTGTGGAGACAGCACCTGATTGACTGATTGACTTTTAAAATAGAATTACTGTTTATGAAGTGTTCCAATAAAATATGTCAATTTTACTGTGCTGTGTTCTGTAAAGCAGACAAATACGTTTTGCTTTTCATTTAAAAAAAAAACTTCTTTTGTCATCTCATTGATAAAAGATTGTTGCCCAGGTGCGTGGTTTTTTTGTATTTGTCTTGTGCTTCTCGGGTAGCTTGGATAATGGATTTGTTTATCTTTTTTTGCAGGTTTTGCTACACCATATATATTTTTCTTGGTCTTCCTCTCGCTTTCCTCCCAGAATTTGTTTTTTTAAACAATAAATGAAAATATCATCTAGTTTACCTGACAATGAAATATCTATTGACAGGCTTGCATATTTCCACCTGTACTCTTCATTTTGTAGTTATACTGAGCAAATCTCTCACTTAATAGTTGAGTGGGAAATATAACACACTCCCTTAAATGGCATCAGCAAGAACAGAACAAAGACAAATCAATAATTTTTTAAAGTGCATAAGCATGTGCTGGAGCTGACATTTATAGATAATGGCACTGGATCTTAAAGGGTGTTGAAAGGTAAGAGGATTGATTTCATTGAGCTGGGTTTTATCTCATATGGCTTAGTCTCGCTCTTGCAGAGTTGCTGGTTGCTTGCAATAGCAATGCACAAAGAATGGTCTCTGTAGCTCCAACAGTAACCCCTAGGGTTTCTGAAATACTTGCACACCTAAAACAAAGAATGGTGTCCAAAACTAAGCCTTCAGGGTAAAAGGCAAAATGCTCAACTACCTCACATCAGAGACCATTCAGAACTAAAAGGAGGGAATGTCAGTGACTGGGGAAACAAAACTGGGGAAACAGATACTGAAACGTACTGTATTTGTTGTAACGGGCTTAAAAGGTTTCACCCTTTCATCATAAAAACTCTAAGGGAAAAAAGCCACAACCCAAAAATTCTTGAAAAGTCTACTGGAAAGAGGGAGGAAGGGGGGACAACTTTTTTAGTCAGGTCAAAAAAAAATATATTTTTAAAGTTTATTTGTATATTACAAATTTTTTTAAAGAAATATATGAAGGACACAATCAGCATGAATGGAGCAGTGCTTTTTCCTTTATACCTAAACAAAAAAAAAAGAATTATATGGTGACTCATAACATGAGAGGAACACAGTGCAACTCCTAAAGGTTAAAGGCAAATTATGAAGACATGATGTCACAATCACTTAAAAAAAATATTCTTTTTTTTTACACTGAACCTCCAGTCCCCATATTTTCAATGCTATTTGTTTTTGTAAATATAACATATTCCTTAAACATTGTGCAGGTGCAAACAGAACTAATATAGTTAACTACTCTTCTCTGGAACTGGTAAATGCAGCAATGCTGGTTTAGCAGCTTCATGAAGATTTGTAACTGATAATTTCACCCTATTAGCAATGTTTCAGGGCCACAGGGTTGAGAAGAAGAAGGCACTATAATATAAGAATTATACAAACTGACTACAATTCATAAATATATTGCACAGATTTAAATTGAAGTTCATCTGGACAGATTTTCATATACAGTGTCAATTGTTTTCCTGTATGTGTCCAACTTTTCCTTCATTGTTCTCTTTTGTTGATGTAACTGCTTTCTCTTGTCTTCACTGTCTGCCAGTGCCTTCATTAGGTCTGAGTTTTCCAGATACAAGTCCTTTAGTATCAAGTTTCGCTGATTCATCTGAGCACACTGAAAAATCAAAAAATACTTGTATAATACCCTGGAAGCTTCAGCAGCACAGTGGCAAGCATACTTGCTTTCCACCACAAGTGTCATGTTCAAATCATCTCAGAAACGAACTCTTCTTCTTCTTCGCGTTCACCAGATGTAAACTCCGGCGGAAATTTCTGGTTGTTTGTTGACCTCTGTACTTTAGTCTTCTTTCAGAACTTAAGTGTTGCGCACACATCTGTTTTACAGATCTGACTCATTTGTATGCAGATTTGTGATTCCATGCCTCTCAGGCACATGCATTCCAACCCCAGTTAGTCGACTCTTATGACATGCTTGTTGGGGAGGCAGTGGGTCTGTTCCTGTTTTCCCCACAATGGGACACCGAAGAAAGGATCTGTTTCCAAGCCTTGCCTTGGGAATATGGTAATAGCTATATACTTTGGCCATGTTGTATCAGCCATGATTGTAACTGACTTGCTGAGCATGTTGAGAAAGGTGAAGACATGCATGCTCTGTGCAGAGTGGCAAACATCACCTCACAAGTCCCGAGTAGTTAGCATCCTTTGGAAATTTTCTCCAGGTTATGTTGGTGTGTTGGGAAAAGAGCAGGCAGACAGACTGGCAGGTTCTGCACCACTTGGTAATGAACTGATTTATGACACGCTGGATGTTGTGAGGGCTCTTTGGAAGTGACTGAACAGTGCGGAGGCACAGAAAGATCATTACTGTTTGAGGAGAATGGGGCAGCAAAGAGTTACAAGGGAATCCGACCGGCGCTCAACACTCAGGGGAAAGGCAAGACAGATATACAATTAGACAGTTACTAGTGCTATTGGAAGTGGAACTCTTCGCTGGCTGGTAAAGAGGAGAACAGAGCGCTTATGCAGGTGTCCCGATGCTGTGATGTCGATTCTTAATTGAACATTCAACATTTGGCCATTTTGCAGATCTAATGACCAGCATTGGCTTGCTTTCCAAGAAAACAGAACTGGTCCTGCAGTGGATACCAGCTCACCATGGTTTTCCAGAAAATAAGACAGCAGATGAGCTGGCAGTGATCTCCCACAACCTCATTCCCCACAGAGTTACAAAGAAACCCAAATAGCCCTAAAGTAGTCATTCAAGGGAGAGTGGAAAAGGCAGATTGGAGGCTACAGATCTGAGAGTGAAGCATAAACAAATTCAACAGGAAAGAACAAACATCAATTTTTATGCTTTGCAATGGACACTGCAGTCTTGGAGCACACCTATACAGGATCGGCATAAAAAAAAGCTGCTGCCTGTAAGTGTGGAGCAGGCAGACCTCCTGAACATGTACTGAAAGATTTCCCTAACTACTGAGTGCCTTTGAAAGTAAAGTTTGTTCGTTTACACTACAGGTCTCAAAAGAGGGAAAGATGAAAAGGGGTAGACCTAGTTACAGAACATGGCTGACTGAAAGATTCATCTTTGTGCTTTATTATATGCTGATGTAACTTTGTAGTCATCCACATGATGTGATGCAGAGAAATGTGCAATATACTGTTTGTCTTCTCATTATTTAAATGTTAACACATTGTTACAATTTGTAAGTTGTTTTTTCCATGTGAGATCCTCATCAATAATTGAACCCAGCTTTGAACTAGAGATGAGCTATGTACAGCTGATGAGAAATATGCAAATAAAAGTGGCAAAGAATAACAATATTCATTTAATGTTGCAAATACTTGGGATAGTAAAAGGAACTTACAACAAATGTTGAAAAAGCTGATGAAACTAGAACATAATCAGTGATTATAAGAAAGAAACAGTCTTCTTTTGTTATGTGACGAGACTGGAGAATATTGTGATGGCAGGAAAGATGAAAATCAAGTTAAAGGATCTAAAACAGTGGAATGGAGAAGTAGAAATATCATCTTTAGAAGTGAATGAGAACAAAAGAACCAAGATATGAAGAAAGACAGACACACTAATGTCCTCTGGTAAAGCACATGGAAGTGATCAGAATCAGATATGAATAAAATCACTCATTGTCAAAAAAACACAAAAAACCAACCAGCAAGACTGTAAGACATGGTAACAGAAAAAGAAATAATATGGAAAAAAAAAATATTAAAGATATATTCAGAAATATTAAATTGAAAAAAAACAAAAAAAAAAAACAGGAAAAAAACAGACTTCTTACAGTTTGCAAGTACTTTTCTTTATATCTAGTTAGTTCATCTTGAGCCAAGTCCAGTTTACTCTGAATGCCTTTGATTCTGGCTTCCATCATCTTTGTAACTTTCCAGGTTTCTGCATCTGCCTCTGTTGGAGAATAACAACAAAACTTAATTAACCAACACATCCTCTAAGAAAATGGAAAAAAAATAAAAAATTTTAAAACAATTTGTAAGTGCTTATAGCCCCTTCTTTCCCAAGCAATGCAGCATGCATGTTCATTACTGTCTATGTGAAACCAAACAACACATAAATTGTGATGCATTATTGGGGACTTGATCAGTTAATTAAAAATAACTACGTGTGAAATGTGATGTCTCCGAAGAATCACCAACAATACACGAAGAGACAAAGTCACAAACATCAGCATTAGAGACAAAGTTGGAACAAGAGCATGCATGGAACATATTGAAAGAGAGAATGAAGTGGTTTGGCCATTTAGTAAGAATGCAACCGGATCAGATTGCCTTTAAGGCCTTTTACAGTAGAACATCGGGAAGAAAGGCCAGAGGAAGACCCAGGAAAAATGGATAGATGGAGTAGCTGAATACGGCCAGAAGATCCAGAAAACTGTCACTCAAATCACGCGAGAGGCACAAAACAAATATTTTAAACCATGACACTGGGCTGCAACCCGGTAAAAGTGAAGAAGACAATAGATAGATAGATAGATCAGTTAATTTAACAATAAAAAAAAGGTTGACACCATAAACAAGCATATATTAATAATTAGGTTAGGAAAAAATGTAAAAATATGATTAATTAATAGTTTTTGTGATAATAACACATGAATGAGACGTGAATGGTGATAATAACACATGAATTATCTATAACACCGAATGAGATGATAACGATGATAATAACACATGAATTATGTATAATACCGAATGAGATGATAATGATGATAAAAACACATGAATTATGTAAAATACTGAATGAGATGTTGATGGTGATAATAACACATGAATGATGTATAATACCGAATGAGATGTTGATGGTGATAATAACACATGAATTATGTATAATACCGAATGAGACATTAATGGTGATAATAACACACAAATTATGTATAATACCGAATGAGATGATAATGGTGATAATAACACATGAATTATGATACCGAATGAGATGTTAATGAACTGTGCCTAATGGTTACTGAGAGATAATGATAACAATACAAGAACTAACGTTTTATAAATTTGTCAATGACAGATTCTCTCTCTCTCAAGGCGTTCTGTAAGGTGATGACAAGTCGCTGATGCTCCACGAGGTTGATCTGAAGCTTGGTGTAGCTCTCCACTTCCACCATGTGTTTTGCCTTCTGTTTCATTAGCTCCAGCTCACGAACAAACTTGGACTGAGCCAGTGCCATAGAGGTACTTACTTTAGCAAGCTAAAACCCAAAGGGAACACAATTAATAAAGCAGATTCACATTAAAGCAATGTTTCTCCATTGTAAATGTGAACCAAGAAGACATGCAATAGACAATTTATTGTCTGGCATATTTCACTGTATCTTGTCAGGTGCATATTACACTAACAATTAAAATGTGCTTGAGTTGAGTAAAGTTCATTCAAGAACCGACATCGCTGCACTCGGGCGTTCCCATAAGCGTTCTACCCCATCTGCAGCAACGAGCATAGAGTTCCAATACCAATAGTGCCAGTAGGAGTCTGATTATACGTCTGCTTACCTTTTATCTGAGCTTTGAGTATCAGCCAAAGTCCCCTCGTCGCTCCTTGCTGCACCACTATCCTCAGACTGTGATGATCATTTGCTCCTCTGAATTGTACATCTGATCCCATAAGGCCTTCACCATGTCTGCCTTATCATACATCAGTATTCTGTCAAGTTGTGCAGAGCCAGCCAGTCTATCCGCCTGTTCATTCCCAAAATGCGCTTGCTCCGGTAAAGCAGGCAGTTGCTTTTAAGAGTGATTGAATTTCTACTTCAGTTGTGAAGGATTCGCGTATTTGCATTATTTGATTTAATTATTACTGTAGTATCCATCTGAAGAAGTACAACAAAATTTGCCAGGCAATAAATTGTGCAATCTACTGTTCATTTCTTCTTTGTTCAGAGATACACATTAGTCAACATCATGATTTATTGCCATCTTCACAACAGTGTTTGGCAGTGAATTATTTCTAGTAATGTCTGACCTTAGTTTTCAATTGACATACTGACATTTGTGTCATAAGGGCCATATAGTGATGTCTGTCAGTTTATATTGTTTTTTGTGTGTCTCACTGGGCATATGTATAATCAAAACTAGTGGCTTATTCTGAGGGCCGTGAAAACAATGCAAAAATTACTTATAACTGAGAGAAAAACAACAACTCCAGAATACTAATGAAATTTAATGATTTCAACACTACATGATCTGGCATTGGAATGACTAAAGATAGAAGAAGCTTTATCACTGCACTGAAACAAAAACAAATACAACATCAAGTAGATATACCCATGAAAATAACACTCCTGATGCCCTCTTTATCCAGTACCATGGGAATAGTTATAAAAATGAGAACATCATTTAGTGGTGTCACAATGATAACTGGATGTAAGTATAATGAAGTGCAAAAAAGGAACTTTCAGAGTATGCTCTGCAAAAGTTACCCTGAGAAATCACTGATATACACATACAATGAGCCAGAAGAATTTGGTGAGGAATTAGAATAAACTTACTGCTTCTGTTTACTAAAATTCTTCCACAGAAATGAAGCCACACAATTAACAATTGGAGAACTCATTCTGTAGCAAGCATAAACAGAGGGATTTCAACACTGGATGGGAATGAAACCCAGTCAGCTACTGATAAGAGCACACAACAATGATCTGCATAAAGACCCAGAGAAGGACCAACTTGAGTTGATTCGAGAACCGACATCACAGCACTCGGGGCATTCCCATAAGCGCTCCGTTGCCATCTTCAGCAGCCAGTCAAGAGTTCCAGTACTAATGGTGCCAGTAGCATTCTTATTAAACATCTGCTTTGTCATTCCTCTGAGCCTCGAGCATCTGCCCCCCCCTCCCCACCCCGCATCAATCTCACCAGACTGTAATGATCCATCTGCTCCTCCGAACTGTACATGCTCTCCCACAAGGCACTTACCATGTCTGCCTTATCATGCATCAGTATTCCACCAAGTTGTGCAGAGCCAGCCAGTCTGTCTATCTGTTCATTTCCCAACACACCGTTGTCTCCCGGTGAAAAAATCCAGACAATGCTCCTCCCCCATGTCATCCTCAGTGAAGCATGCCACTCCGTACGAAGCATGACTGTCTTGATCTTCCTCAGCATGCTGAGAGAAGGACTGGAATTTATTAGGAGTGTTTATTTGAAACCCATTTGTGCCACACCATGTGTAATTGCAGTGAATGAAACACTTATGGGAATGTCCAGAGGTCTGTGATATCGATTCTCAATACAACATTCAAAACTGGAGTTTGTGCCACTTTCTCAGCAGGAGACCAAGCTATAAGGGATAATCTAGGGCAATGAAGTAAATCCTCTCAACTTTTACCCCAAAATATTCTTCTTCTTCTTTTGTTCGCTTGAAATAGATTATCTATTCTGCATTGTTGTCTCTAGTATGAACTTCACTGACTTTTGTAATTCACTCAGTGACCCATAAAGTTTGACTTGCACCAATGTTTCTCTTGAGCAACAACAACAAAAAATTGTTCCCCCCCCCCCTTTGTTCAGATACACTTTACAGACAATGATACCTGATCAGATGTCTGGTCCAAGAGAGTTTGCAGTTTCTGCTTGTCTTCATTCAGTATACTCAGATGTGTCTAATGAAATAAAGCTCTGGTTAGTAACAGTTTACAAATAAAAAAAGTCTCTCTGTAAGATAAATATGTCCCATAAGTTTCCATATATAGGAAAAATCAACATATCACAGATAGTATTACAAGTATAACTGCAGCTGTGCTTATACATGCTCTTTAGCAATAAATGTGTTTTCTAAACAAAGGTAGTCATGAAGAGCATATTATATAAATACAAAATAATTCTGATCAACAATTGATTACTTTTCCAATGTATGGACATCCTGCTATAATGAAAAGAATACATTTGGTGCCATCTCTGCAGTGAAGAATGGTTGCAGCAGATACATGAACATGAATGGGAACTTTATGATGTGATGTAACAATCACTTCCATAGTGCCACTGTCTGAAAGCCACAAGAAGAGTATTTTTCTAAACCATCCACTGTGGGTATGAAACACTAGAAGATTGTGGAATGTCCTCACTAACTTCTAAGCTACAAAGCCATACACTTTATGCACCTATTATACTATACCTATGACCACCAGCTTGCAGCTAAGTATCCTAGCCACAGTGCACCCCGACCCCCACTCAGACATTATTAGTGGGAAATTAATGTGGTCGACTTCTTTTACCATCCTTATCTCTTCTTCTATGCGTTCACTGGCTGTAAACTCTAGCGGAAAGTTCTGGTTGTTTGTCCACCTCTGGACTTTAGTCTTGTTCCAGAACCTGAGTGTTCCATGCACATCTGTTTAACAGATCTGACTTAATTGAATGCAGACTGTTGTTTCCTTGCCTCTCAGGCAAATGCACTCTGACTTTGATGGAAGCCCCTAATTAGTTGACTGCTGAGACATGCTTGTTGGGGAGGCAGTGGATCTGTTCTTGTTTTCTCCACAATGGGGCACCAGAACTCACACAGGGACGTCTAAATCTATAAACACTTCATTACCATTGCTCGCTGTGTGGGTTCCGGGGCCCTATTTGAGGGAAAACAAGAATAGACCCACTGCCTACCAAAAAGCATGTTGTAAGTGTTGACTAATTGGGAGCTTCCTTTAAAGTCGGAGTGCATCTGCCTGAGAGGCAAGGAACCAACAGTCTGCATACAAATTAGTCAGATCGGTCAAACGGATGCACACGCAACACTCAAGTTCTGAAACAGGACTGCAGTTCAGTAATGGGTGAACAACCAAAACTTTCTGCTAGAGTTTACAGCTGGTGAAGAAGAAGATTACCATTGCTTATTCTATGCATCCTTACAGTTGGCTAGTGTAGCCGTGATGGATGTCCTAATTATAAGTTCGGTGGATGCTGAACAGAGTATCTGTCTTGTATGTCTGTCATCCAGATTAAGATTTTTAAATCTCAGGATGGTATGGTAAACATTTAGTTAGTATCTGGAGGGGACAAACCAACTGACTGAACAAACTGCTTACATTTGTTCCTTCCTTACCCACACTGGACTAGATGTTACACCAGCTTGCTGTAGGTATTCCAATTTTAAATTTTTTTGTTGTTGTTGAGACTTGACAAGGTAACTGAGATTTGTCTTGTTGGTCTTTTCTCCCGGTTTAAGATTTTGTTATTTCATGGTGTCAAACATTTAGGTAGCAGCCCAGAAGGGACAAAAAGAATGCACAAAGCACTACTTACCATTTTCTTCTCTTCTGCACATTATCTGCTTTGTGCCGCTAGGTTTCACAATTAAAACAATTAATTGGTAGTTGAGCCAGAGTACGTCTGTTTGCTAGGTAAGCTGTGATGTCTTAGGTTGTCAGTGACTCCTTCAGTCCATAACTTCTAGGTCTCCCTCTGCCTGTTGGTGTTCACATTTTCCTGTTGGATGCTTTTGATGCCAGCATCACTGGGTTCATTCTCATTAGGTGGCTGAACCATTTCAGTCTTTTTTTCTCAATATATTTAATGGGTGCTGTTCCAATAGTTTTTCTAAGGTCTTACTAATTAAAGAGAAAAACGAAACAGACAAACCACAAGCACTCACTGTTGTACTGTCACAATCACTTTCCTGGGCTTTAGACTTCAACACACGGACAGTTTCCTCCAGTTGAGATTTGTCCATTAGAAGAAGATCATAATCTTTCTGAAACAGAGGGACAGTGAAAACAGTTCTAGCATAGGCAGTAACATTTTGGGCACAAAGATGATTAGTTATTTATCTTAGCTAGAAGCTTGCCAGTCAGCCTAAGGGTCTTGGGTTCGAATCTGCAACAGGGCACATTTTTTTTTGGGGGGGGGGGGGTCACTGACATGGTCTCCCATGTCATCATCAATCATCGGGTCCTTTATGGAACCTGGCTCTGTCACAGCATGACTGAAAGTCTTTCTCTCTCTAGCCCTATGTGCTTTCATAGCAAAAGCATCTTCAGTGTCTTGCATCCATCTTTGCCGAGGTCAGCCTCTGCTTCATTTCCTGGAAACTGCAGCCTCCATCACTGTTCTCTTCAGGCCAGGATGGACACAATATTGAAGCTTTCAGGCCAGGATGGACACAATATTGAAGCTTTCAGGCCAGGATGGACACAATATTGAAGCGTTCTGGACAGAATGCTGGTTATGAGCCAATTATCCCTAATGTTCACATCATGTA